GGGATTTAAATTTGGAGGTACAAGAAAGCACAATGTTTTAGTCAATGTTGGTTTGGTTGGATATGAAAAATAGGTTTGTTTTTTTATAGAGAACAATTCATATAGATCGTGTTGTGGTCACGTGGTGTTCTAATAATAATGTAAATAAAAATAAAGAAAAAATTACACATGATATTATATTATTAACTAGAATGTCATGATGACTGCGAACTCATTATATGTAAGTCTATCTTCTTTTGATTACCTAATATATTTTTTTCATCTTTTTTGGTTGAATAATGACCTAATCCTTTCACTTCCTCGTACCTGTGCAAGTTGGGCCTTAATGTTTAAATGGTGAGTTGTAAGCTCAAACCCAAAAAGTGGAAGAGAGAAACACATAAAAGAGATCAGATCAGTTAACACATAAAAGGGACCCTTCTCAAGCAAAAGATCTACAAAGAAATCAGGATATTCTTCAAACCATGGACGAAAATCATTACAAAAAAGTGTTGTGTGGGCAAGGTGTTCTAAATTCGCTTGGCGGTGGATATAGGTTTCTTATTTTTATTGCATTTTTATTAGTTTCTTGTTTTTACTTACAGTTTTTACATATTCTATGCTTGCTCTTTATCGATGGAATGATTAAAACTAGTTTTTATTCACTTTATCCCTGCTCTTAGGCAAAATAGTGAATAAAATTGTGAAGTTCCTCAGCACTTGAGGAAAAGAAATAACATAGACCAAGGCAGCTAGAAGTGGGCACAGCCAAATTAGGTCGGCTTTACCCTAAAATTATACTAATTACAATATAACAATTTGGTCTGGTCCGATTGTGACAAAAATCCCTAAGAAAATTAAACCAAACCAAATTGATGTTGAAGGTTTGGTTCTGTTTAATTCGGGCAGTTTGGACCTAAAAGGCTAAAATAAAAGAAATTTCCATGTTACTATCTCAATTTTTTTTTAATAAGCGATATTATCTACACTAACAGAGTAGGAGAGTGGGCTAAACCTCATAATGAACTAGCCATAATAATGTGGTACACATTCGTTTTTTATGAGAATCAAACCTAAGATCTCTTACTTACTAGTGAAGAGATACCACGAGACTGTAGTACTAAGTGGTGTCATTATCTCAACTTTGCTAGCTCAATTACAATAAAAAAAAATTCATAGTTGCTACATATTTTCATTTTCAATTACAACATCAAACAATCCTAAGTATATTAGTTGCAACTTAAAAATCAGTAACTTCTTAGTCACATTATCCTTCAGATTCAACATTCATATGTGGTTATTAGCAAGTAAAAAGAATACATGTGTAAATAAAGTAATAAAATGCAAATATGCAAGTAGTTGGTCCTGTTCGGCTTAGGTTGGTTTACAAAAGCTCCAAATTGTTATTAAGGTACTTCATTACAATACGGTTCGATTTTTGTAGATCATTTGATTTTTTATTTTTTTGGTCAAAATCAAACCGAATTGGTTACTACGGTTTTTGGATCAGTCGGTTTGGTCAGTTTGGTCAGATTGGTGCACACCACTAGGACTTGTATCCTAATCATAACGACACAATCTCTTGATTAAGAAGTCGCTTATAGATGAAAAACACAACAAACCAACACTCAATCACTATGTTTGTTGGCAGCTAGCAATGGTATACGCTCGCACACCCCTTTCTTTCAAGTCTTCTAATGGGGTTGAGAGCGAAAGAGTAGTTGGGGAAAACAAGTTATCATGGAGGCGTAAAATAAACTATTTTGGACGCGGTTGCCGTTGCACCCACATCTGTGTAGAATTGTTGTTCGACTGTTGACAAGTCGAAGTCCAAAAATGGCACATCGAAGTCAATTTATTTTTATATGTGCGATATTCTAATTGAATGAAAACTACGTGATGTGGGCCAGAAATTGAATTATTGGAGTTGTAATAAAATTAAAAGAAGAAAGCGATGTTCAATGAAGGAAAGTGATTGAAGAATTGAAAGTTTCAGGGTTAAAAGATTATTGCTAATGCCATATCTTGAAAGTTAATGTTCTAAACTTTTTTGATAACTCGACAAGAGAAAGACAAAGAAGAGACAAATCTATGGCTTTTTAGTATCAAGACTTGCACCTAGTCTTGAGACCCGCCATAAACATGTATTCAGTAATTTTGATAGTTTAGGAAGTCTTTATAATTTTATTATTTCCTATTTTATTTTTCGTTTGAACTTAGGATTTTCTTAGACTATATAAACAACCTTTAGGGTTGTATTTCAACAGTCATTCATATTATCATTGGTTCAACTTTAGAGTTCTCTATTTTTCTGGTGCATTACGAATTGCTCAACTTATGTTCTAAGATTTAACGGTGATCGTTCCTACCTATTCCGTTTATGGCCGCATCTCTACGAGAAGAGGATATGAACTTAAAAGCAAGAGAAAAGACATACTGCTCTTAGACAATTTTGCTATGCTTCATTTTTCAACTGAAGCACATAAGGTTGTTTCTATTTTGGTGCCAAGTTCCTTTAGTGCTAACACAAACTGAGCAACAAGGCAAAACAAAAGTTCCAATATTTAGTGCAGGCAAAGTCTAAATATTTCGTTTCAGTCATCAACTGAGACTTTGCTTATTGCTTTTATTGAACTTGCCAGGAAAATCCAGCCCATAAAGCCCCCAAACCATCGCCAAAGATGACAACCAAACCGGGACAGGACCAAGCATCCACAACAGCATAGGAAAAGTGATGCACAGCATCCTGTTGCTTACAAGAGCCAAAATAAATCCTTTCTCAAGTATGGTTCTTGCGTGTCCAGAAGATGAGAACTCCTGATCACCACAAGCATTGATCAAGAAGTTGGCATCGATCAAAAACGCAATCGCCATGGAGCTGCACAAGAAGCAAACTGACAAAGACAAAGCTGCAGAGCCATATTTTAAGGCAAAAATCTTGGTGGATTGTGACCCAAAAAAGGTATTGCTGAAGAGGTTGGTTGCACTATAGGAATTGTTTATTAGAGCTGCCAGCGAGAGTTGAATAAGAATTGCTACTGTGGCTGTGAGTGTTGTCCCCATAAGAGTATTTCTCAAGCTTTGGACTGCTAACATGCCTTTCTTATCATCACCCTGGAATATTTTTCCAACATCATATATAAATTTAGGAAACTAAATCATGTAAGCAAGATATAATGATAGTATTAAGAGGATTAAGTAGATGTATATATATGCTTTGTTAGACAACTATTAGACTGCTAAACGCTTAATTACACTGTAAGAGAATGAGTCAACAATGTATATCAAGCTTACACTTTTTCCCACTGGAGAGTGACAAACAAAAAATGAGTGAGGAATGAAAGTCAAACACAGGACCGCTTGCAAAAGAGACCGTAATTTCACATTAGACACCATGAGACCCTAAACATTTAAGCTATTGAGAAAGAAAAACCATGTATATAATTAAGCTTAATTGTAGAACTTAATTACCCCATCTAGCTCTAGGAACCAAGCTCTCCTCTTCAGCATATTGATCCCAATTGTGGTACGAGAGGGCTTGTTCTTGAGGTTGTGCCATAGATAGGCATGGTAACCAACTGTGAGAAAGAGGCTCATGGGGACCAAAACGGTGTCTAGATAAGTGATCACTCCCATCTTAATTTCTATGAAGCTTAATTTCAGAATAGAACCAGAGATGAATCGGCGGCCAAATGCATCCAATTTATTCAAGACTTGTAAGAGAGCCAAAAGCGGTAAGGTAGTGGAATGTGCGTCACAAGCAATTGCGTTTTGGGAATGTGTTGCAATTGGTTGAAAGAATTGTGGACTTTAAGTAATGGACGTTAAAGTTTGATGTAGGCTTGGAGGCATATGCAAAAGCCTAAGAATTGGTTCGGTGGTCTGTCCATTAATGTGTTTAATTTTAATTGGACTATTTGATCTCGAAAGTTGCATAACTAGTGCAACTATTGCGTCATAAAGTTCGATTCGATTTTTTAAGAAAATTCTTAATATTTCAGCCACATGTAATGAAAATATGGTTTGTGTTTCTTATGTGCGTATTTCTAATTAGATGCTTTTGTATCTACTTCAAATTAAAGATGTGCTTTTATTATTATAAATTAACCAATGCCAAGTGTAACAACACAATTTCAGAAGAATTATGAAATATCAGAAGCGGCGTTGGAGTGTGTAAAAGGTGCAGAGCTACAAGGTCTTGAATTTTTGAGGGTTGCAAAAATTTTCATCCTCCTATAAATTCCATATGAGTATAATTATTCTAATAAAAAAGCTTTTGACTGAAAAGAAAAATCATCATCATATGATTTTATCTATATTACAATTGATTAAGCTTGTGCATTACTTTCTTTCATAAATACAAGCGTATTTTCATATCTCTTTTTTCAGTCGTACTCTGCTTTTTCATGGATGAACCTTAATCATAATTTTATGGCGACCAGAGATTATTCAATTAATAAGAGTGAGATGTTGATTTCAATTAAGTTTGAATATTGATACATTAAATTCTACATGAATATTTTTTTTTTTTTAAATAAGGAGGATCTTTTTATTAATTTTGCACAGGGCTCCAAAACGTCAGAGACGGCCCTTTGAACCACATAGCTACTTTAAGTGTTTTGTCCAAAGGAAGATAAAGATGGGAAAATGCTTCTCTGTCTCGGTTTCACTATCTCCTTTTTCTATCTTTCTAAAATGTTATTGTCAAATGAAACAAGAGGGAAGTTTCTCTGTAGAGGTGGAAACGATACAGAAGCTGATAAAATTCAAACGACATATTTTTACCGTTGATATATTGTGAGTCCGAGCAATTTTGACTATATATTAATGCACATGAGGCTCACAATGCATCAATATTCAAAATTTGCAACTGTCTGTTGCATCTATAAGTCGTATTCCAAAAGGTGATACCTGTAACTACACTTGCTGATGGCACATGTATAAAATTAGGGAAAGACAAGCCCTATGCCTATTGCAAAAATATACGTACGTACATGTTGCATGTATGCTTGATTTCTTCTTCAACTAAGGCTTTGCCTACTGCTTGTGCTGAGTTTGGCAGCAAAATCAAGCCCATAAAGCCACCAAACCAAGGCCAGGGAAGACAATGCAACAAGCATTGGACCGAACAACCACAACAACATGGGAAAGGAAATACAAAGCAACCTGTTGCCAATAAGAGCCAACATGTACCCTTTTTCAAGTTGGGTTTCTGTGATTCCGGAGTATGAGAACTCAAAAGAAGCGTTTATTAGAAAAATGGTATCGATCAGAAACCCAGTCGCCATGGAGCTGAATAATGAGCTAAACAACATGAGAAATGAGGCCAACCCATATTTCAGAGCAAAGATGCTTCCAGACTGCGAACCAAAAAATGGGCTTTTGATAACGAGGTGACTTGCATTGTAAGCATTGTTGGTGAGAGCTGCCAAAGTCAAGCTTAAAGCAATTGCTGTAGAAGCTGTGAATATTGCCACCATTTGAGTGTTTCTCAAGCTTTGGATTACCAGCATACCCTTCGTACCATCGGCCTGCAAATCAGATAATTAAGAGATACAGATAGAAACCTAGAATTAAAGTTTCCTTCTGTAGGATAAAAAATGGAAGCTTTTTTTCGAGCGGGACAATGAAAGAGGGTCTTGGACTTACCTCCATAATTTCTAGAAACCATTTTCTTCTTCTCATTGAGTCAATTCCAATGGTGGTAAGAGAGGGTTTGGTCTTGAAGGTGTACCATAGATAGACATGGTAGCCTATCAGAAGGAAGAAGCTCAAGGGGACTAAAATGGTGTCTAAATAAACAAGCACTTCCATATTGTTTCAGAGGATGGAAGGCATGCTTGTGACACCCAATAAGAGGGTATATATGAAATAATATTCTGGAGGTGGTTAAGCCTATATGAGGAAGAGGGTTGAGCACTTGTGGAATGATGTATGATTGACATTATAACTTTCTGTGGCTAGGGTTTGAGCAATGCACGAAACTTCTAAATAATTTGTAATGGGCATGCTGATGTAAGTTGACCTAAATTCGATAATATTGTTTAGCCAAACTAAAGTAGGGATTGATGGATGCCCACTAAATAAAAGGCTACTTACAGCATGGACAGCTTAAACTTTTGGTGATTAGGTTCTGATCAGATTAACACACCAAGTAAGACATGAAGGTTTCAAGTTGAAGCAATTAGTTCCATTTGTTCTAAGGTATTGATATGCTACCATTTTGTTGCGATTGGAAAAATGAGTTTCTTTCGTGACTAATTCATCTTCTACTTTTTTAAACATACCGTAAATATACTAAGTTAACGGATCAGGCTAAAAACAAATACTCTAAATGTGTGAATCCTAATAGAAATGACATTCTTTTTGTTTTTGTGGTCAATTAGAAAAGATAAAGTCATTCATATTCTCGTTCTTCATAATTTGTTCAATCTCTTAGTTGATTCTTTATTTAAATTTCTCATCTAAATGTGTTATTCCTAGATGCATTGGTGCCTCTATTGGGAGACTGTCTGATAACTAACAAACGCCACCTGTTCCTTTATACTTCCTACTTTTTTGGGCTTCAATAATTTGACAAAAAAAACTCATTATTATAAAAGTAGACAATAGCCTGGGAAGCCCAAATCTAGAACCCATCAAGGGAAAAATGAGGCCCAACATGCCTTTGGAAAAGCCAGGTGCGGTGTGGTTTCCGTTTGGGTTGTGTGTTTCTTCCCCACTTCACCATCTCAAACTGCTCTGAGAGTTCTGGAGGAAGGAGGAGGTGGAAAAATGAAACAGAGAGGGTTCTGGTGTGAAAAGGGCTAGCTCTTAGGGTTAATTTTGGGGATTTTTCTCATATGCAAATAGTGCATCATAAGTTTGATGCTTCAGTAGATTTATCATTTAATGCATATTAAAGGAAGAAGCGTAAAGGTTTCTGAACAAAAAAAAAATGGGGGAAACGTAAAGAGAAGTCGCAAAGGAAAATCCCCTCTGGTCATGTTGAAGCCAACTCTCTCTTTCAAACGCAATTTTTTAGTATAGTTACTAGTTTTTCAATGGTCATTGATTTAAAATAAGCCCATCTGTAAGAGCAAAGCTTTACAAACTGAATTATAATGTATCTTGTTTTTTATAACAAAATTTAATTTAGCATTGTGTTAGTGACGTTTGAATCCTCCTCCCAAATGGCCTTTTCTATTTCCCAAAAAAATAAAATAAGGTAAGGTAGGGTTTGAAGCCAGTTGAAAAGCAAAAGTGGAGAAGGCAAATAAAAAATGATTAGCTTGTGTGGCTGCTGGGATTCGAGCCCAGGTCTCCACGGCCACAACGTGGAATTCTTACCACTAAACTACAGCCACAACATGTTATCGAAATGTTTGATAAAATATATAAGTAGATACCCTAACATTGCAAGTGGCTTCACTTAAAGACCTAGAAAGAAGCAACTGGGAATTGCCAACTGCTTGGATCAGTTGATAGATCATAGAATCGTCCTGGTTTGCATCGACGTTATAGTTCTTTCATCGTGTAAAGAGAGTGTGATAGACTAAAACCTGAATTAGAATTTCTTCAGTTGGTGTCTTAAATGCTCGTACAATTGCATCAACAATATTGAGTTGTACTAAACATATTGAGTTGGACTAATATATGTGTTCGTTATTTGTCCTCGGTCAACCAACTAACATTTTGACAAGGGCTACACGAGCACCGATTTCATCAACTTGTCTTTCCGGTGACGCCAAGTTATGATAGATTAAAACCCTAATTAGGATTCCTTCTAAGTATTTATTTATAATTTGTTGTAAAATTATATTTCCTACTTAGGAGTCATATTCTTTGTAGCCTAAGGCTTGTGATGTAGATATAAACGGGTTTACCCTATGAATGAAATCATCCCATTCAATTTAATATTTCTACAACAACAAAGTTCTCTTTCATCATGTACATATTTCAGTTAAAGCTTCTTCATTGATGTTCTAAAACTGGTTTTTGATTGTTGGGGTTTTCTGATTGTCTAATAGTTGGGGGAAGACGAAGAACATCGGTCAACATGATCACCACCATCGCCACTGCCGTGGAGACAGCCCTTATGATGACCTCTTCTTGTGAGGTTGTTGCTGTCCTTATTTAGTCTCTTCATTTTTCAGAAGAATAGGGAGGAGCATGTTTGTGGCTTGTTTCCCTGTTCTGCAGTGTTTTGGACTGGATAACTGCAGATACAACCATCATCGCCAAACACATTTTCACTAACCTTGTAAAAGTTGTTGTCCCTTTTCTCTTTTTGTTGTTAATTCTGAATAGCTTTCGATATATTTGATGCTTAAGTATTAGCTTTGGAATTGTAAACGTGTATTCATTTGGATGACATATGGAAATTAATTAGCATGTTTTTGGTTTTGTGTTTGCCTCTTGACGGAGTACTTGGATAACTGCATAACGAAAGAGGGATATCGTCAGCCATGCATGTACTTGAAGGTCTTACAGGCAGCATTCTATGCTCCCTTCACGCACGAATCGTCACCCATTATTTGGCTGATGATTGGAGTTTTCATGTATATAAGATTCCTATCAAGATTAGCCAAGTTTCAATCACAAATGTTTCATTTTACGATCATTGACACAAACTGGAATCGAACTTAGTAGCGTGAGATTATGACTGAACAGGGTATTGAATTGAATGAGTCAAGAATATTTAGGTAGCATGTCACAAATTATATGAAAAGTTGGTTACGGCACACACTAAGAAGTGTTTGCGAGCTTTCCAATATGCCAATGGAATTTCCTTATTCAAATACGGAATGTTGTATCTAAGGCATCCCTGCTACCGTGGTCAGAAAAATGTAAGATTAGGATATTAAATCATGGATAATGCTTGCATCTCTTTTTGGGTGACGAACTCATTCTTCCACTTGCAAATAACATAAATTTACTATAGAATTTTCATAATCAGAACCGTTCAATATCTTAATCTTCATATGAAGAACATTCCTACAAAAAAGGCATTCGGATTAGAGATCGTTTTGTCATTCACTCTATCAAATAAATCAACGGTTTATCATGAATATTGTTACTTAGTACATACACCATTGATTTATTTGATACATTTAGAAGACTAAACTATCTTCGATTCGAATAATGTTTTGTAGGGATGATCTTCAAATGAAGATTAAGATATTGAATTGTTCTAATTATGACAATTCTACATTCAAAATACCTTATTTGCAAGTGGGGGAAATGAGCTCATCCACCAAGAGAGGGATACAGTATTATTGTGAAATCATATGCTAATTTGTATTAACTATATTGAATAATACTTGCATCCCCCCACTAAAAGGATGAACTCATTTATTCCTTACGAATAACGTATCTTGACAATGCAAAATTCATATTCGGAACGTTCAATTTATTAATTTTCTTTTAAAGATTACTCCTACAAAAAACCATTTCAATCGGAGATTATTTAGTCATTCAAATGTACCAAGTAATACATTCATGGTGAACCGTCCACTTATTTGATACATTTGGATAATTAAACGATTTTCAATTCGAATGATTTTTTGTAAAATTGATTCTCAAATAAAAATTAATAAATTAAACGAACTTGATCATTAATTTTATTCGGTCAAGATACATATATAGTTGTGTTGAAGGTAATAACCTTCAAATTAAAATCAATAATTGATGAAGTTGGTTTGATGCCTTTACGTCGCCTTCAAAAAGTGTGACGGTATGTTTACGATGCAAATATAATGCAAAAGGTTGGTCATTAGCACGCATTACATATTTTATGCACTATCAATAGCAACCACCAGAAGGTCCAAAACCTCATGTTTATAATATGTACACCTTTTTAGCATGGTATGATGCATTATATAATTGTAAAGTAATTTGACCTGGCCAACTATTCTGTGTAACTAACCTTTGAATGTTTGTGACATGTTTAAAAATTATCTTAATTATCTGACAAATATTTGTCATGTAATGTCATTGATTACATGAGAATGTCTCTCACACAAACAATAGACTCCACGCAACCTACACAACCCACGTGGCCACACGAAAAACACTGACTCCTATAATAGGTTATCGTTAGGCCTTACTGCAATTGCACCAATTTGTGAGACCTTAAGAACTTTGTTATGTTCTAATCTTTCTATAACTATTTTTCTTAACACCAATAGTGAAGGTTATAAAAGATTAGACAAGCAAAAATACACATCAAGATCTGTCGTCAGAAAACTAGAATTGCACCAATAAAATGACCTATGAGAACTTCAAAACACAAACAAAGTAACTAAAAATCCATACAAATGTGAAATGTCCCGTGTAGGGAATCTTGCATTCCCATTTTTATATATGCTTTTTGACTCTTTAGATCGGTTCTTTTGTTATCCACCTAATCACAATTAGTGTGTTTTATGTATGAAATTATTTGAAGGAAAATAAAATATTACACAATCAATGAACAAATGATCAATGATTGATGTGGAGCAACCACTACTTCTGTCTTTGTTTCTCCTTATGAAAACAATAGTTTCGCATATTAAATAATTATTATCCATCCTTCCATTTTTCTTGAATAAAAGTACATTCTTAACCGTGATACGTTTATATTTTGTTTGGCTAAAATAAAGTAAGAGCTTTATAGTTACAATGATTTATAAGAT